GTTTGGATTCTCTTTCATACACTTCCCCTTAATCAGGAGTGCCCTCCGCAGCTGCGAGTGTAACTTGATTTGGACTGACACTCGGTAGTGAAGTGGTAGTGGGTAGGGAGTGGTTTGGGATTGGGCCAAAGACACATGAAAGGAAGAGGACTTCCTGTTGTTGACACAGGTGAGTTCAGGTAGATCCCGTGAGTCTGTCAGCTGAACAGGATGCTTCACTCTGATGTGAAAAACAAAAACCAGGAGGACAGACGTGTCCGAGCTTCACTCCTCACGTCTCATGTTGTTTTGGTTCTTTTAGTTTCAGCTCATCAATTGGACAAATAAAATAAAAAAAAACAAAGTGACACATGGTGAGTAACAAAGTGAGTATGTCGCAGTTCAGTGTGTCCAGTTCAGTCAAACAAGGCAGTGCAAAACCCTCCTCCTCCTCCTCCTCCTCCTCGTCACCTTCAGTCAGTAGTAGACCTCCTCTCCTCGTCCTCCTCCTCTTCCTCCTGTCAGACTGTGTGCAGCGTTTCCAGCGGGGGAGGGGGAGGATGGACAAGTGTCTCTTGTTGAGGCTAAGCAGAGTTAAGATACTCCAGAGCGACCTCATAACAGAACTTATACTGTTCCTGTAGAGACACACACAGGTCAGAGGTCAGAGGTCACAGATAACTCGTCATTATTTAAATCATTTCATAAACATATCACCTTTACAAAGTATTTAGTGTACACATTAAGTGGTGTTTAACTCTTTCCCCGCCATGGACGAGATATTCCGTTAATCTGTGTTTTCACTGTAATAAGACAGGGAGCGCTGTTTCACATCAACGAAACCGGATCTCCATGACGGTGACAGTGACACACGGACAAGACAACCACAGAGGAGACGGAAACAACAGAACGTGACGACCTGTTGCGCTGCTATACTTCAAAGACATTATTATTTTTATTATTATCATAACTTTCATTTATACAATTCAAACTGACGGAGGGAAATGAGAAAAAAAACAAAAAAAATGTGAAATTGATTTTATATTGAAAAATGACTCTTTGACAGAAATACATTCTCTCAGCTTTTTGTCCAAAATGTTTTATTAATTTATTTATTTATTTTATGGAAAGTGACAAATTCAAGTGTTGATTAAAAGACATGAAATAAGACAAAAGGTCTGTCTTTTAGTGTGATGTATCTACTGTTTATATATTCATAGAACAAATTATTCTGTGGTTCTTTAAAGATCACTGAATATGATCAAAAATGCTGGAAACTTCAAAATAACACTCTGGAAGGGAAAGAGTTAAATAATTTGATAAAATAAATTTCAAATTACATTTTTGGTAATATATATATGTGTGTGTGTATACAGTACAGGCCAAAAGTTTGGACACACCTTCTCATTCAATGCGTTTTCTTTATTTTCATGACTATTTACATTGTAGATTCTCACTGAAGGCATCAAAACTATGAATGAACACATGTGGAGTTATGTACTTAACAAAAAAAGGTGAAATAACTGAAAACATGTTTTATATTCTAGTTTCTTCAAAATAGCCACCCTTTGCTCTGATTACTGCTTTGCACACTCTTGGCATTCTCTCCATGAGCTTCAAGAGGTAGTCACCTGAAATGGTTT